GGGGAGGGGGATGGGAGGAGGGGGAGGGGGCAGCCCTTTAAAGCGGCCGCTCCGGAGCCGCAATTGACAAGGAAGCAATTATGAAATTTTGATGTTCAAAATGGGGGGAGGGGGGCAAAAGCCGCAGCCGAGCTGCTCCCCGCGGAGCCGCCGCCGCCGAGGGCCTCTGAAGAGCTCTCGAGCCGGGCGGGGGGCGGCCCCGCGCCCCCCGTCATTAAAGGCCCCTCTCCAGCACTTGAAGCGATTGGGGAGCGCCCAGCCGGGCGGGCCACATGAAAACCACCGGGCGATTGAAATGGGCGCATTGAGATGCGCGAAGCGCAGCGGCGCGGACTCGCTCTCGAGGTCAAGTGACGGACGGATTGTATGCTTCTTCATAATAATATTAATTAAACAATTTGCATGCTAATAAGGTAACAATTATCAGGGCCTCTGTTGAAAGATTCAGGTTATTACAACACGCCAATCTGGAGGCCAGGGGTCAGGGAGTGAGAGGCGAGCGAAATTTCAACTCAAATTAACATTCTGTCAGCTCCAGAAAATGGGATAAATAAAGTCGAATTAATTCATTATATTAAAGAGAGACGGGCGCAGGAGCCCGGCCGGCGCCCCCGCCCTCCCCGCGGGCGCGCTGATTGCCTCTCCGTATTCAGCCGCACGCGCTGCGCGGTCCTCCCCGCACCCCGACATCCAGCCCTGCGCTGGTGGCCGCTGGCGAAACCCAGCCGGGTAGACAGGGTTTACATTTAGTATTTATAGAGAAAGAAATTAAATTATGGCGCAAAGTAGTCCTCTTGGCCCCCGACCTCGAAATTAAGCCTCGCAGCGTTTTCCTCCTGCGCCTGGAAAAGGGGAGGAGGAGTCCTAAATTTCAGGCCGCCCTCCCGTCGCCCCGCGATGGCAGCCCTATCCCCGCAGCCTCTGCACCTCTCCCTCCCTCGGATCCTGGAGAGACGAGGGCAATTCCATCCGAATCCCGCGGCCCAGGCCAGAGACATTCAATTAGGGCCTGCGCCCGGGTCGCCCGTCGAGCAGACTGGGGCCGCAAGGTGGTCTGGGGCCCAGGCCAGCCAGGACTGGGGTGCTTGGCCTCGCCCCCCTCCCAAGAGCCTCCTCCCTTGCCCCCAGACGCGAACGCTTCTGTACACCCTTCCCCAGGCACCACAGATACTCTGTCAGGGACAGACGCACAGACACAGGGACACAGACACACGCATAGTTCTGTTCTGCCCTTCCCCTTCCGCCCCTGATTGGGGCTTGGCGACCACCAAAAGCCAATTTGTCTGTCGCTTCCCCCTGGAGTGAGAGGCTGTCGCCGGCTCGTGGGACTGCCCTGGCCAGAGGCTGGGGCCGCGAGCTTTCTCCCTCTCTGCCTCAGCCGGGCCTGGACTCGAGCCTGGACTCGGCCTGGACTCTGGCACCTCGGGAAGAGCGGACACCGCGCCGGGTCCGCGCACCTGGGCCTCCAGCTCAGAGAGCCGTAACCTCCCCATTGGCAAACTTTACACACACACACGTACATATATGTATGTATGCATGTATGTATGTATATAATGACTTCTTTCCCTTCTGCCCACAGTCCTAATTTGTAGCTTATTTAAGAATATGTCCTTTAATGATTTAGCTTTGAGTCCGTCAATATTTTATGATGAAGGAAGGAGTGACAGTTCTTAGAGAACGTAATTTAATTATAATAAATGGGTTGGGTACCCCGGCCCACCTTTTAGAGGCCAAGTCAGAGCCGAGCTAGTTATTTTTTTTATAAAGTGTGTAGGGGGGCCGACTGGCTGCCACACCAAAGTTACTTTCTCTTGCTCAGCCCGCCCCCTCCCTCCTCCGCCCTATTGTCCCGTTTTGCGGGATGGGTATAAGATGGGGAACAGGCGCCCCCCCCAGTCCTTCCAGCTCCTTCCTCCCCCCCACCCCCAGCACGGTCTTACACGTGCGAAGGCTCCCATCCTTCCCGGAGGGCACTAATTAGGCCTTTTTGTGGACAGGGCTTTGCATTCTGGAAGGAGTTTCTCCTCTTTTAGAGTCCCCCTCCTCCCTACGCTGCCTCCCCCCTCCTCCGCCTTCCCCATCCTCCTCCTATCCCCCGCTGCCTGGAGCCGGAGAGGAGGCGATGAGAAGCCCTTGTAGTTTTAAATTCAATGTGACAGCTTCGGAAAGAGCGGATGATGAATCTCCTATTATTGGATCAGTCTATTTGCCGCTCAATGTCTCTCTGTAATTGGAGCAACATCACTTTAAAGGTTCAGAGAGTACAGCATTTCTGGTGAAAAATCCCCACAACACGCCGGTGAATGTTTTAAAGGGAAATCTATTAGTGATGTGCGGAGGGCGGGGAGCCGGCGGCGGGGGCGGGGGCGCGGCAGGGCTGCTGGGCTGGGAGTGGGGGGCTTGCCGGGGACCCCGCCCGGCCGCCCCCTCCTCCAGCCCTTGCCCCTCTGCGCCGGCCGCGCCCCTCCCTGACACCCCCCCCCCGCTTGTTGTGACAGTTCCTGATACTGTTTATTGAGGTGCATGTCAGGTATAATTAGCAATCGATATGGAAAACGTTCCCCTGCACCCAGCACGCCTCTGACGTCAGAGCCGATTAGCGCTTCTTATTGGTCCCAAATTCCCCGGGCCGCGGCTAATTATCGGGAGCTTGATGTTGATAAAGTAAAGCGCCGGACGCGGGCGAAGCATGTGTAGGGCT